TATAACTACATATTTTAAATACCTATATAACTATATAACTACTACTACTATATAACTACTTAACAATGTAATTAAAATATATTTTCAAATATAAATTAAAAAACTGGATGACGATGATGACAACGACATTACAATCACTCCTGAATGTCTCAGCACTTGTACTGTTTATAGATACCATGGCAAAACCAGCACACGTGGTTCCTGAATGCCCATACCTGCATTTATTTCCATAATGCTTTTACTTTTTCACTGTTCCCTGAAGTATTAGTAATAGCTACTTCAAAGTGAAACCCTGCTGACGGCCACAGAACCACTACTCTTATTCATGCCCATTTTGTAGTTTCTATCATCTTCAGCGTTGTCTGAAGTCACTTCTGGTTGAACAGATTAGTCCCTTTCTGTGAACTTCTGTGGACTTCCAGATAGAAAAACAAGCTGTATGATTTCATGACACAGGTCACACTTATTATTAAAAATTTCTAGCTACTGCATAACTCTCAGGAGCAAAAGGGTTTGGTCACTATGATCACAAGAAATATAAGCACAGGACCTAAATGAAAAGGTCGTACTCCAGCTAGTAATCTCTAGAAGTCTCCTTAATTCCCTGAGCTATCCAAACATAATGGATAAAAGCAATCATCATGCTAAAAAAGTACATAAAAGAACCAGTCAGCAATAGCCTGCTGTTACTTTTTACTACAGGTTTCCAATAACACAGAGGAAAACAAATTTTATCTAGATGAATTTATAACTTCTCCTCTTGGTGCTGTTCTTGTGACTAGATACCCCTGTTTAATGCTGTGTATATATGTAAAAATAGGTCTTTTCTTCTACTTTTTTGTTTGTTTGTTTTTTTTGTTTAAAAATAAGCTGTTTTTTAGATTAAAGGGACAGGCTCAAAACACACTATCAGCTCTTATAACCTGGCAACTACAAAGGGTCAAAAATAAAGGTATTTCTTTCTTACTGATTTCCAATAACCAAAATATATGCAGCATGGAGCACATCAATGGGGGCTTCAGCCCACTCTGACACCCCATAAGCAGGTAAGTGCAGCCCAGCAGTAACCTTTTCATCTGCAGATCCTGGATTCCAGCCTACCATGAGCAGAAACCAAAGACCCTCCTCAGGGAACCAGTCTGTCTGCTTTTAGCACTTAGGGTTTTGTAACACAAATTGTCTCACAGCAGTCAGAAGACCAAATAACATTCAGCATTTTTTAATACCGATAGTTTAGCTCTCTGTGCCATTTCTTATCAGACTATCTAGCAAGGGTAGGCTGAATAGGTTGGTGAAACATTATCATAGAGTCATTAAGGTTGGAAGGGACCATAAAAATCATCCAGCTCAACCCCCCCTGCCATGAGCAGGCAACCCCACCACTAGACCAGGTTGCACAAAACCTCATCCAACCTGGCCTTAAAAACTTCCAGGGATGGGACATCAACAACCTCCCCGAGTAACACATTCCAGTTCCTCACCACCCTTAGAGTGAAGAATTTCTTCCTAATATCTAACCTAAATCTCCCCTCTCTCAGTTTAAAACCATTACCCCTTGTCCTATCACTATCTTCTCTGATGAAAAGCCCCCCAGCTTTCCTGTAGGCCCTTTTCAAGTACTGGAAGGTCTCCTTGGAGCCTTCTCTTCTCCAGGCTGAACAGCACCAACTCTCTCAGCCTGTCTTCATAGCAAAGGTGCGCCAGGCCTTTGATCATCTTGGTGGCCCTTCTCTGGACCCTCTCCAGCAGGTGCTGAAGGCACCAGAACTGTACACATTATTCCAGGTGCAGTCTGAGCAGAGTAGAGGGACAGAATCACCTCTACCCTCCAGGCTGTTATTCCAACATCAAGCCAGATTCATTTATTTTTATACTGTTTATGTCTCCTTTTTTTTTTTTTCCTTCCTTTTTTTTTTTTTAATTTTTTTTTCACATCCCAGAAAGGTCTTCTTAAGTGCAAAGTCAGCAAGCTAGCTGAATGGTTCTCAGCTCATTGTTAATTACCCACTCAGCATTTTCCATAGGGCATGTGTTAACAAAAATTCTACTGAAAATTGGTATTTCAGAGCTTTCTCCTGTCCTCACTGATTTTATTAAATGAAGTACCCTGATGTTTTTCTTTCCAAAGTGTTAGTATTACAAATGAAAGGTTTTGGTTTTCATATTAGTGGCAAGGGAAAAAAGATCTTTCAAGATGTGTACAGGGTAAGAAAGTCCCTGTACTGTCAAAACCAGCTTAATGAGATGATCCATTTAAGATATATTGTGATTTCCCAATAAATTACCTGCAAAAGGCTCAAGGGAAGATTCACGTTTTGTTCCTCAGAAACAAAAAGATAAAATGAACATATTATAACTGATGCTTCCTATCTTCCCTTATTCCTGATTCACAGCTTCATTAGTCTATAATGAAAGGAAAAAAAAGATGTCTGAAATTGCCTGCATATCCAGGCAACTAAATATCTAACTTAGAGAGGAAAATTTCAGACTGTGCAGTCTTATCCCTTTCACTTAATCTTACTCACTGACATATCAGAAAGACATAACTACTGTAAGATCTGTAGGCTTTCAGGGAATAGAAAACAAACTGTTAGAGAAATGGAGCATGTGACTAATAAAAAACAAAACAAACTCACAAAAACAAAAAACAAAACCAAAAAACCCAAACCAACAAAAAAACCCCACACCACTCTTTCTCACATTTCAACATCTTCACTACACAGTGAAGTTTAATAAAAAACAGTAGAAGTAGGGGCCATTTCTTGGTACTTAGGTGGATCACACTTTCAAACAAATAGCTGGTGCCTGCTGGAAGGATTTAATATCCCATTGGACTAGCATCTCATGTTTCAAAAGACAGAGTTGAAAGCAGCTTTTACAGGCAGCCTCCATAAACTCACATAATTGCCACTGGACTATTTTCCTAGCAATGAGCAGATTAAAAAAAAGTAACTAGATCTTTTACTTCCTTCCTTAAAATACTCTTTCCCTCCACTCTCCAGACTTTTTCCCATACAGAGATGATGGGTCAGCTGTTACAGTGCTACTCTGTAAATGAAAGCAAAGGTTCCATTCCCTTCTCTGCCAGTATGACCCCAAGCCACTCAGCATCACCACAGCTGTGTCACTGCCTTCCAGTGGTACTGAACTAATCTAAGAGGCACGGCAGCGCAAGAGTGCAGGCTCAAGAAGCAGCTGAGACACTGGACTGCACAGGTCTCTCATGACTACAGTCCTGGGCTGCTGCTTCATGGTAATTAGCAAAGTACAGTGTGAGGAAATATGTGATTTTAACTTCTTTTGAGAACTGTTATGTCAAGGATTACTGGGGGAGGGGGGGAAGGAAGTCTCTTGTGTGTGAGCACTTGGGTTTAGTTGTAAGCCCCTTTTAATCTTTAAATCAAATAAAGCCAGGACAGAAGGTGATGGGAAGAAATGGCAGAAACTCCCTCTCCTCCTTGAAACCAGCAATGCTGCGTCTAAGGTCAGATGCAGCACTGTTTTTTGATTAAGAGCTCTGCCTGATGGGGTTCTCTGAAGCACAGGAGGGAGAGGGAGGCATTTTCAGGTCTCTTCAAGAAAGTCAGGTAAACCTGGTCTGTTTCATATTAACTACCACCAAGGAATAAAAACACTAAAGAGAAAGGCAACAATTGAAGTTAGAATGAGGCAAGACTAAATTTTAATAACCAATACTTTGGAACACATACTATGAATCCTGATCTCAAAATTCCAATTCTAAAACAAAACGAGAACACAAGTCAGGAAAAAATAAAAAAATAATAATTTATAAAAGGAATTTTTTAGAGAATTCTGTGCTTTTCCACTAGTCAACCACTGAGACTTCTTGTTGCTAAGGAAAGATTTAAAAAAACAGAAGGGTGCTCAATACCTAGCCTATTCTCCAGGAATAATCAAGCATATGGAATATTTTTATAGTAAATTTTTCACCCAATTTAATGCAGGAGACAAAAATCTGGATTTCAAATTCATCAAACTTTTTCCAAATGCTTCACAGATAAACACCATAACTAAAAGTGCACTGGTATTTGGACTGTGTATGTCTATATAGTCTTTACTGCATACAAAATTTACAGAACATTATTTCTTGGCTGCTAAAGTGAACTAAGATAAGGGCAAAAGTATACCAGTGTTCTCCCGCATAAAAATGTTAGCTTGCTTTTTATTGCAAACATATTATTCTGACTAAGGATGCTTTCATTTTACTAAGCCAAAGATCACCAATTGCATCTCCAATATTTAAAATAATCCATTTTCTAATGCGTTGCAAAGACTAAAGATTAGAAACCTGATACACTCCGCCTACCAAAACCTCAACCTATCTCCCTGATCCTTCATAGCTAGAAAGTCAGACTGAAGTTTATGAAGAAAACAAACCACCAAAGTACAAATCACCAAGCACAAAGTGTATGTTAAGTCTACACGATCTTTACATTCAAACCGTTTTTGGACCTTTCATAAGTTTTCTTTCTTCTTGGTGGAGAATGATAGACTAGACCTGGACGGCTATTGTTTTATAATCTTTGTTTTCATGTGCCAAACCCAAACCAAAAGCACACAAAACACACGCCTAGCCTTGGCAGTTCATCAGGTATCACTTACGTTGCATGTATCATTTTACTCCACTGAGCATAATTTTAGGAGTTACTATTGCAGGAAGTGCTAGAGTTGGAAAACAAATGTTTTACACTAGGCAGATATATGTTCAGAGGGTAGTAGGCTCTAATAATTTGCAATTCATTATATTACATAGCTATGGAATTTAAGTTTAGAAATACAGAATGATAATTTTCAAGGTACCAGATCTCTCACTCTCAGTGTAGAACAGGTATTTTCACGAGTATCCTCCACTATTGGACTCATGGGACAAATCAAGCCAATGACAAAAGTCATTAAGAAGCCAAAAGACATCATTTATTAAAATTAATAAAAATGTCCACAGGTAACTCAAGACCTGTAATTAAGATGTATGCAGAGGTTTAGGTATTTTGCTGTATTTTCTGAAGAAGAAACTCCATTTGTAAGTTTAGATTGGGCTGTCCTTTTTTTGTCTTCTTACTCAATATTTTATAAGCTTCCATTTTCTTTTGCTTGTACTGCCGTTGAGCTTCTTCTCTTTGTTGTTTCCTTTTTTCTGCTTCCTGAAATGAAAACAGAGATGATTAGGAAAAAAATCACATACCTTCTATAACTATGAAACTATCTACAAGCAATAAAATTTATTTTTGTAAAGATACTTGCAATTAGGTATTGTACTTACACTAGAAACACCATTAAGTCTTAAAAGCTTAACCAGGACTCTCTTTTCACTGCATACTACAATCAAAACATATACTGGCTAAAGCTTCAAGAGAAGATCCAAGCTTACTTCAGTAGATCTTACAGTAAGGTTTATCACTAGAATATGTACTACTTCCTTCCTGCAAAATAAGCTCCTTGACTTTTTTCTTAAATGACAGAGTGGCAAAAATTTCACAGTTTATTCTCTTGACTGCAAGAAAGATTAAAAAAAAACAACAAATTTTTAAGTGTACAAGCTTTCTGTGTTGAGGGCATAGCACATACACATCCAAAACAGTAATGGAGGCACTTATACTGTATGGATAATCATAATGGTATTACATTCAGTTTTTATCAAACAGCTTACACCCCCTAGTGTTGCAATTTTAGTAAGTAATTTGAGCAAACAACTATAACAAAAAAGCTAACTAGCTTGCTTCACTTTTATCATGTCCCACCAAAATATGCAAGACATCGTAAATCAGACTGAAGGGTTGCTTGAGTTTATTTGGGTGAATTCTTCTCATAAAGCTTATTCCTTGAAATGCAGTGCCATGCTAAACACAAAGACAGATGTTTCTGCAGCATGCCTATGCAGATGATAATTTATTGTGTTTTTGTTTTCCATGACATAGCTAGCTGCTGCGATGTACAAAAACTAGCAAGAAAGCTCTGCAACACAGAATATAAAATTAACCAGAAATAACCAAAGAAAATATTACTAATTAAATCTAAGAGGCTTGGGGGAGAAGCCTGCAAATACAACATCTCTCTATTCAGAATGCTTCACTTATTTTACATTTTACTTTAACAATCATTAACATAATTAATTCCTTTTTTTTTTTTAAGCCAGAGTAGCATATACTCTTAACTTACCCGTAATTAACTTCCTATGCAAGAAAGGTACTGCTGTTCAGCATATTGTTGTAAACAACATCAATTTAAGCTACCAACCAAACGCTTACTCAAAGCAAGAACATTCATCTTACTTAGGTAGCTGTTACCTTCTTTTGTGTTCTTTTCTGATCTCTACTGAATCCTTTTTTGTGCAGAGGCCAAAACTGTGCCTTTTAAGCTTTTCTTTTCCCAACATCAATGACATCAAATTCAGTGTTTGCTAATGTACCTGAGGGTAAACTATGTGATCATCATACCTGTATTCCACATAAATGACTATTGTTACTATGGCATTTAGCTGCCTTTTGTTTTGCTTTATTATCTTAAACAAGACCAAAAATGTTAACACCTCCCCTCAGGCAACTCTCAAATGCTGCTCAAAGAACATTTCTTGCAGTCTTGCTGGGTTTTTGTTTATTCCTCTAAATAAGCTGGTCATAGCACTTGTTCTTTTTAGCATGATCTGTAGCTAACATTCAAAAAAGAAACTCTCAGCTGAAAAACAACATAATTCACCCAGAATCATGGATCAACTTCCATAAAACTACTGTAGTTTTCAATACAGCTAAACTGAAGAAATAATGTTTTATCCACCTATATATTTATGTAATATTTATCCAGCAGACAGATTTACCTCTTTCTTTCTAGCACGCTCAGCCTTTATTTTCTCATACTCTTCTTTTGCCTTCTGATTGGACGTTTTCTTCTTAAACTTCGCTTCAGTCATAACTGAACTGTAAGAAAAAGTAGAGGGACTTCAAACCTAGGCTATCACCAAACAGACATAACCATAAATCCCACAGTCACTGCAGAATCAGAGTATAGCCTTCTATTATTTTTTGCATACTTGGAAAACTTAATTAGAAATACAGATTTATAGATTATGTAAGTGACAAGCAAGGCCTCTTAGAAGCTCATCCTTCCACATTGAAAGGATACATGTTTGCAGGACTGATGTGACACCAGACATCATCACTACATGTCGTGTAATGAGCATCTAAGCACGAAGACGCAACAAACTAGACTGGACTGCGCAGAACTTTTACTAGCATATATACCCTACCTGCTGGATCTTCACATGGATGGTGTCTCATAAAGTTTAAGAAGTGCCTAAAAGAGTTTTTTTCCCCATCATACTAGCTCTTCAGAGCTAGAAAAAATGAATGTACTAGCTTAGAGCTGTATTATTTCTTTCTAGTTCCAACACACAGATGTAACTGCTAAGATACCCAGGACAGGCAACTGTTAGCAAATTGCCTGCCAGAGTCAGGCTGACATGGCAAGGTGAAAAAGCACAGCAGTAACAAAGCCTTTCCAAAGCTTCTTCTTGAAGGAGATGGCATGTTATCATCCATAATGGTCTGAGATTAGGAACTGAATTTTCCTTCCCAATTTCAATACAAAAAACTGCCCAGGTGCCTTTCAAAGAAAACAGCAAAAGAAAACTAGTGCCATTTGTCTGGCATTCACTGCCACCTTGCTTCAAATGGATTTTTTTTGTTATTTAGTTTTGTTGGGTTTTTTTCCTGATTTACAATACAGCCATTACATAAAGAGTAACATTCTACACTTGAAAAACATAAGCTTTGCTAACAGCTGTTCACAAAATAAGTTGTAATTACTCTGTTACTCACATTACAAAAACTGAAAATAAGCCATCATCATCAGACAGATGACCGAAAAGGAAAGTGAAGGTATTTACTCATACTTTCATTTAGAAATACCATACTCTGTAGAAGAAAAATCATCTTTGCTTTATTCTCATCTCTACCTTGTGGCAACACTGTGTAATGACACCTCATCTTCTCAAAGTACAAAGCTCCTTAAATTACAGTATATGATAAAACAGAATTACCTAACCAAAGTCTTATTTTACATCCCCAGAGAACACTAAAGCCTACCTAACAGACTCTGTACATCACCCCACATCACAGATTAGCACTCACCTTTTTGCAAATTAATTCTGGTTTACACTCATGAAACATAGTTTAGGAAAAAAAGAAAAACCCTCTGGTTTTAGGAAAACCAGTCCTATTTCACACATCCCCACAAATTAGCTGACTATTCCAGACAAAGCTCTACTTCTCTCCCACTGCTAGGCTTAGTTCTGACTGCATTTTCCCTTGTCTCCCGAGCATTCTTCCCAGGGAAGTTTAGATGTAGACACCCTGAAATTCAGAAACTTACAGCACTCCTTGTACTGCAGACAAAAAGGCATTATCTCAAGCAGTGTACTTAAATGCTGCTTAAAAACACAGCTGTCATGGCACTACACCTGAGTGACTAGTGCTTTTCACTTTACTGACTTACTTAACAAAGATTTAATGGGGAATGACTGTCACACAGGGAAAAGAGTTGTCTGACATTTCTTAGCTTGCAAATTAAAAATTCCATTTGACTTCTCCCAGTTGTTGTAAGTAAATTTAAAACAAACAAACAAACAAACAATCCCCCACAAAAAACCCAAAAACAAACACCACTGGCAAATGATTACATGCTTATTATTTAAAAGTATTACCTTGATCAAGAACACTTTACTGCCTTAAGGTTTCACTAAATCCTCCATTTCATTTTTTTAAAAGTTCATAGCTAAGATCTCCCCAAAAGTAGCCATACCACAGAAGGGCAACTGCACATATTGCTCATTCTAGCAGAAAACCAATGCAATATGAAGAAAACAACTTAAAAAATTGGGAATGGAAAGATAATACAAACACGTTCCTGAAAAGTGACATTAATTTAAAAACAAGGAAAACTGTGTAGACTCAAGAGCACACTACCAGAAATGCAGGCTCTTCTCTTACATGGTAAGAAGTTAGCCAAACACTTACTGCTCTTGGGCTGAACCCTAAGCTTAAAGTACAATGGCAACTGTCATATTATTTCTGTGGAATCAAGCCCTAACATGATCCACTTTGCTTTCTGATCCTGATGCAACACAACAAAGCCATTTGCTTACATTTTCTAACATCTAGGAAAAACATTTAAGACCTAATGGCACCTTTTTTTATAAAGGCAAATGACAATACTGAATTCTATGTAATTATTAGTTCTAAAATATTTATTTAATGATGGAAACAATTACTTGTTTTTAGAGACATACTTAAAAGACTTACTCTGCTGCTTTATTAATTTTTTCTTCTGATGAAACTGAATCACCTGGAGTCCTGCGCCGTTTCTTAAGCCTTTCTTCCTCAGCCAGGTAAAGATGTTTCAAGTGCTCCGGGTAGGTATCAGTAAACTGATCATCCTGTTGTGGATTGATCTTTCTTCCCTTTTTTAACAATTTCCTGTATTGTCTTATGATCTTTTGTTTTCTCCGAAATGCAAATCCTCGTCCTGGAATTGTAAGAAGAAGGGTTAAATACACCTGCACTGAAGCAGTAGCAAACATTTCATTTGTTGCCCGGACCAGTTCAATCAATTTTCTTTCCAAAATAGGAAAAAAAAACCCACTATTTATGCTAATTTTAATAAGATCACTTAAAAATTCAAGGAAAAACATTGTTAAACAGCTGTTCCTTATTTCTGCATCATAATTTGTACAGATTTACTGAAAATTATCACCTAAACCCTTGAGAGAACATGCCATTGCAAACATAATGCTTAATGTACACCAAACATTATACAACTTTGTCAATGCTTTTGAATCCAGTTAAAAGATCAGAGAATCACAGAATGGTTTGGGTTGGAAGGGACCTTGAAGATCATCTAGTTTCAACCCCCCTGCACGGGCAGGGACACCTTCCACTAGACCAGGTTGCTCAAAGCCCCATCCAACCTGACCTCAAACACCTTCAGGTAGAGAGCATTCACAACTTCTCTGGGCAACCAGTTCCAGTGTCTCACCACCCTCTCGGTGAAGAACTGCTTCCTAACAGCAATATTGGCTGCTTAACAAGTCCTCAGCTGCAATTGCACAGAAAAAAGAATCACTGAAACACCGTATTATATATTCCAGTGTATCTTTTCATACAAATAGTATTTTTATCACTACTACTTTCTTTCTACATCCATAAAGGAAGAGGTCTTCTACAACTGCAAAAGTATGCTATGCTACAGAATGATTTAGCCTTAAAGGAAGCACCTGATAATGGTTGTTTCAGTCTCAATCGTTATATAACCACTTATCAATCTTAACACTCCTTTTTCCTAATATGTTACTTTTTGTCTTTGTCTTAGGAGCTACTCACTTATAATAATACTCGTTAAGAAAACAGTTTCTAAAGGCAGCAAGTCCAACTCAGTCCCAACTTCTCCTTTAATTCTGTCTCCAAAGTTAAGATTTCAGAAAAGTGCTGCAAAAGCTGATGTTTTGACTATCGTCTTATTGGTCCATTTGCGTATCTACCTGTCGACAGACCGAAGCTGTTTCCAAACACGCTTCTATTTTAACATACAGCTTCACAGGAAACTGAAAGCGAGTCCTACAGCAGAGACATCACCCCCCAGCCCAAGCGGCGTCCCCAGGCCGCCCTGCAGACACCGGCCCTGAGCCCGCCAGGGCAGGCAGGCCGGGCCCCACCCG